TCCCACGGCGGCGGGCTCGGATGTGCCGCCGGGCTCGTCGCAGGCTGGGGAACAGCTTGAAGCCCGGCTGCCAACAGCCCTCGGATAGTTGCCCGTTTGACTTGAAACCTCTTCCTGTGCCGAAAACCTCGCTGAAAGCAAACAAATAATGTCGCCGAGGGCCGTGCTTGGAGGGAGGCGGGGGGGCTGGGGAGGGAGGCCTTTCTGCCTCCCCGGCGGGGTACGGGACTCGGCGTCTGCGAGGGCTCCGGGTTTCCTGGTGCCATAAATAATGGTCTCGTTGCGTTGGCTGGCATCACAGCAACCGAACTGGGCTGCTTTTTATATTTTTTTTATATTCTCTTTATTTAAAGGTAGCGGCCAAGAGGAGCAGATCTTCCCCTAGAGGCAGAAATCACCGGAGAGACCTGCTTCTGGTAAAAAATAACTCCTCCTCGCGTTCCCCGAGGGGCAGGGGGGTGGCTGGGGAGGGGTCTCATCCTGAAATCCCAGCTGGTCCCAGCACGGCTCGCTCTTGGGTCACCTCCGAGCACAGACACCTCGTTCAGATCCAGGTTGGTTGTTTTTTTTCTGTAAGTCCCAGGATGAGCCTCTGCCCAAACACTCCTATATCCCCCGAGACGGGCTTGAGCCGAACGTGCCCACAGCTTTTCAGCGTCCCCCCTAAAACATCACGAGCCCCTTATTTTAGGGCCCTGCCATCCTTGCCCCATCACGAGGGGCTGGGTGGGGGGCTCGCTGCGCCCTGCTATTGCAGGACATCCCTGAAAAAAACCCAAACAAACATATTTTTGAGCTCGTAGGTAGCCCTGGCCAGGCAGGGACCAGCACAGCACGGCTGTGCCTCCGCTGTAAAATACTCGCTGGTCATAAAAGCCTCGGCTGCTGGAGGAGCTGAACGCTGCGTTTGCGGCTGCCGGAGCTTGCGGCTGTGAGAAGGTAACGGAAAAACATCCGTGATTGAGATGGCGTGGACTTAATGAGCGTCCCCCGTCCGCCTGGGGTAGAAATCTTGAGAAACAGGAAACTCCGGCATCCTGTTTAGCATCTTAATGTTCAAGTTGGCAGCAGGGGACAAAGCAAGGGAGGCCAAGGGACACCGGAGGCAGGCTGGGCACCAGAGTGGGGCTGGATGATAGAAATCACCGGAGAGACCTGCTTCTGGTAAAAAATAACTCCTCCTCGCGTTCCCCGAGGGGCAGGGGGGTGGCTGGGGAGGGGTCTCATCCTGAAATCCCAGCTGGTCCCAGCACGGCTCGCTCTTGGGTCACCTCCGAGCACAGACACCTCGTTCAGATCCAGGTTGGTTGTTTTTTTTCTGTAAGTCCCAGGATGAGCCTCTGCCCAAACACTCCTATATCCCCCGAGACGGGCTTGAGCCGAACGTGCCCACAGCTTTTCAGCGTCCCCCCTAAAACATCACGAGCCCCTTATTTTAGGGCCCTGCCATCCTTGCCCCATCACGAGGGGCTGGGTGGGGGGCTCGCTGCGCCCTGCTATTGCAGGACATCCCTGAAAAAAACCCAAACAAACATATTTTTGAGCTCGTAGGTAGCCCTGGCCAGGCAGGGACCAGCACAGCACGGCTGTGCCTCCGCTGTAAAATACTCGCTGGTCATAAAAGCCTCGGCTGCTGGAGGAGCTGAACGCTGCGTTTGCGGCTGCCGGAGCTTGCGGCTGTGAGAAGGTAACGGAAAAACATCCGTGATTGAGATGGCGTGGACTTAATGAGCGTCCCCCGTCCGCCTGGGGTAGAAATCTTGAGAAACAGGAAACTCCGGCATCCTGTTTAGCATCTTAATGTTCAAGTTGGCAGCAGGGGACAAAGCAAGGGAGGCCAAGGGACACCGGAGGCAGGCTGGGCACCAGAGTGGGGCTGGATGATGTGCCTGGCTTGGGGCAGGGGAGCGAGCTTGGCACGGCAGCTCTGGGCAGTGTGGGGCTCTGCGGGGGAAACCCTTTCTCTGATTTCTTTTTGCTTTGTTGTCACCGCAGCCTTTGCTGTAACAGCAAAAGGCAAAGTACAGCGCAGCTGGAGTGGTGCTGCTGCAGGCTGTGTGCTAGAATCAGAATGGTTTGGGTTGGAAGGGACCTTGAAGATCACCTTGTTCCAACCCCGCTGCCCTGGGCAGGGACACCTCCCACCAGCCCAGGTTGCTCCAAGCCCCGTCCAACCTGGTCTTGAACACCTCCAGGGATGGGGCAGCCACAGCTTCTCTGGGCAACCTGCACCAGGGGCTCACCACCCTCAGAGGAAAGAATTTCGTCCTATTATCTCATCTAAATCTCCCCTCTTCCAGTTTGAAGCCGTTCCCCCTCATCCTATCACTACATGCCCTTGTAAAAAGTCCCTCCCCAGCTCTCCTGTAGCCCCTTTAGGGACTGGAAGGGGCTCTAAGGTCTCCCTGGAGCCTTCTCTTCTGCAGGCTGAACACCCCCAACTCCCTCAGCCTGAAGGTAAGAAGGTCCCGGTGTCCCCTAAGCGTGGCTCACAAGGCATCCCCCACTCCGGGGACGATGGGGAGGGCACAGGAGGGAATTGCTGGCAGCGTGTGACTACTCACGTACCCACAAAGGCTGGCGGCTCACTGCCCTTCTATAAACACAGGATTAAGCGCTGGCCGAAATACCCGGGTCTGCATCTCCCGTCTCCACACCCTCATTCACACGGTTGGGCTCTAACATCCCCATGCGTGCAAGCCCAGCTCATCGTTTTGGGGGTTTGAGGGCAGGGAGCAGCTCTCTGCCCGCCTCAAAAGTTCACCCACGCGTGTTTTGTGCCCGTAGCCCGTGGGGAGAGCGCGCCTGGCCCGCCCATGGCTAGCAACAACACTGCTAGCATAGCGCAAGCCCGCAAGCTGGTGGAGCAGCTGAAGATGGAGGCCAACATCGACAGGATAAAGGTAGCGTGGTGGTGCCCGCTGCTGAGCGGCTGCCAAAACTGCTCCCACCTTGTGGGAGCCGGGACGCGGTGGTGGGCGGTGTTTGTGGAGGATGCTCGGCTAACGATCCCCATGGCGGTGGCTGATGGCAGCGGGAGATGCTCGCCCGTGGAAGGCAGCTGGAAGCATCACCTGGAGCCCTGCCGGGGGGGTGGGAAGGAGTGGCTGGCCCCGAGGCATCTCACCTTCTTGGGAACGGGTTAAACCCAGGCTGTTTGTCCCAGTTTCTGTTAAAACTATCCTTTGGGCTGTGCTCAGTGCTCAGCCGTGAGGTTAGCGGGGAAACTCTGAAAGCAGCGTCGTCCTGAAGCTTCTTTCCCACGGAAAACCCAGTCCTTTCTGGGAGGCGTTTCGCCTGCTCTGACCGCTTCTGCTCCACTCCGATGGAATTGCTGCTTCTGGGCATGCAAGAGCTCATCGGCTTCAAGCCGGAGATCCCAGGGGATTTCTCTTCTCCACCGAGGCGGTTTTGGATGACAGCCAGTCCTGAGGAGAGAGGTGCTCCGGGGCCGGTTGCTGGCTGCAGGCACGTCTGGGTACTGACTTACAAGCAAAACCTCACCTCTCAGGGCTGGGGTGAGCTCCGGCAGCTTGGGAGCTGCCGCCGTGTCCTGAATAAATAGCCAAGTCGGTGGCTGCGGGCAGCAAACGTTGCTATAGCAGCTGTGGGTGTCCCTGCCGAGGGATGCGGGGGGAGAGACGGCAGGGATGCGGTGCCTGCTAAAGTCGGTCCTTGCTACGGTCGAGTCGGGTGAAGGATGCGAATGGGTGAAGGATGTGAAGGATGCTCACGGGAGCGCGTGTGCCAGGTGAGCTTAGAGCCTGGAGGTGAAAAACCACCCGCCACGTGTTGTCAGTTCATCGGTCGGGTCTTTGGCCAGGGTATGATGTTGCATCCCCCGGGCTGGGGATGCTGTGAGCCCAGCCCCACCGGAGGGATCTCTCGGGGTGGGATGTCCCCAGTGCAGCCTGTCCCTAATACAGGGCTCCTTCTATTCCAGGTGTCAAAAGCAGCAGCAGACCTGATGGCATACTGCGAAGCCCACGCCAAGGAGGACCCTCTATTGACCCCCGTCCCGGCCTCAGAAAACCCCTTTAGAGAGAAGAAGTTCTTCTGTGTGATCCTGTAAACCCTCGAGGAGCCTGACCGGCACTCAGGCCACCCTGAACACTGATGTAGAGTTTTTAGGAACGGGGACGACCTGCTAGTCCGCAGAATTTAAACAAAAAATAAGTAAAATACACGGCCTGGAAGCTACAGGGATGTGCATGTTTAAAGAACCTGGCCACCTTTGGGGGAATAAGATGATCTGCATTGCAAGGCAAAAGATCTGAAGTCTGTAGAGTTGCCTAGAAAGAAAAAAAAAAATATGTAAAGAATAAATTTGTGTCACTTTTCTGCTCACAAAATTGTTTGATTGTTCCATATTTAAAGCACCAGAGCTGTGCTGAGCAAAGTAACTGCTAAGGATGTGTATAACCTTCTTGGAATGATATTGTTGGTCTTTCCAAAATACTCTTTTTTATTTAAGTTGTCAGATATATAGCGACAGGCTAGATGACTTATGATGTTACTCAATGTTTGGTCTCGTGCTTTTTAATTTCTGGCGGTAGCGTAGCACAGGGGTTGAGCGGCCCCGCGGCGGGTTAGCGAGGACGCCGGCAGCTCCTGCCCGCACCCCCCCTGCCAGCAGCTCCATGTTTCTAGCGAACCCCACTTTCTAACATTTTGTATATGGTTAGCTTCGGCTCTGCAAGTAAAAGTGAATCATGTGTCGTGGTTGGTGCTTCATACTCCTGTGACGACGTTCGGTGGTAGTGCATGAGAATTTCTCTCTGTTCATCCGCTCCAGACTTTTCTTTTCTATCGTTTGACACCACGTGCTGGTGGGAGAAGCTGTAGGGAGGAAACCAAGGCGATCCTGAAAGCAAAGACAGCTCCTGCGATGCCTTAGACGTGCCTGAAATACCTCCTGCGTTAGGGTAGGTGCCCCTGCCCCAGGTGTCGTGGGGTAGCTAGAAATCTGAAAATCAAAGTTGATCACTTCTTTCCGGGTCTTTCCTCTTCTCCTACACCTTTGTGCCTCTGCCCTCCTCGCTTGGTCCTGCTCTTTTCAGCTTCCCGGCAGCATCTCCTCCCCTCGGGGCTGGGATGGGATGCTGCCCCGTGGTGGGATGCTTCTGCCCCGCAGTGGGATGGTACCCTGTGGTGGGATGCTGCTTGTCAGTGGGATGATGCTGCCCCGCAGCGGGATGCTGCCCTGTGGTAGGATGCTTCTGCCCCTTCCCACACCCGCCAGCTCTCCCGTTCCCGCTGCCACCCCACTGCGATGCGCAGGGGCAGGGGAGCAGCATGGGGAGCCGTGGGGCCACCCCTTCCCAGAGGTGCCTGATACCTTGTTTACATGCAGCCTGAGCTCCGCGTCAGACTGGGGAATTATTCCCAGGTTCGGTTCATCCACCGTCAGCGTTTCGGGGGATACACGCCACCTTTTTTTGGCTCCGCCTCGGGTTAATACTTTTGCGGACGTGGCTTGCCTCTCCTTTCTACGGCTAAACACCTCCCAGCTTTCCCCGCTCATCTCCACTCCTGGGAAACTTTGGGAAACATAACTTGGGGATCTGTGTACAAAATTAGGTGGGTGTCACATAGGGTTTCGGGGGGGTCTGCAGTGACCCCGCTAAACTGTAGTTCTGAATCAGGTATCAGCTTAAAAATCCCTGTGGATTCAAGGGGGCAATAGTCTTTAGGTACCTTTTGGCGAATCTTTCTAGCCCGTAGCAAGTGCATTTTGGTTTTTCTACCTTTTCATACTCTTTTTCTAGTCTTCTGCGGAGAAGACCAGTTTGTTCTTACACAGGACTCAAAACTTTTGGCATCTGGGAACGTTTCTATGACATGAGTAGCCTAGATGGTCCCAGCCCTCCCGTGGTGGCTTTCGCCCTCCCCTAACCTCCCTGTTTCGATCTTTTTACTACAGCTCACGTAGCTTTAGGATGAAGGATGGATGAAGTGGTTTGCCCTCCAGCTGGTTTCACTCGTGGTGTTACAAGGCAGACGTGTAAATACCCCGTCGCGGGTTTGTCTTTTCTTTTTAACTCTGATTTACCGTCACGGAGAGTGAAGCGCAGCCGGTCTGACCTGGGGCTCGCACCCCAGCCCTTCTCAAATGCTGTCATGAAGTGGTTTATAATAATTTTTTTAACGACTTGCGTATTTTACAACTTGAATTCTTAATAAATAAATGAAGAAATAAAGCTGCATGAAGAATGGGCGGGGGGGGGAATTTTGAATTAGCTTAAACTACTCATTGAAGGTGTTTTACGTTGCTGGTCTTTATTTTATGTCGGTAGTGGTGTTGACATTGGTGTGCTGCCAGGTATTTCACCCCAGTATTTATATTTACACAGATATGCCTTTGTTAGCCAAGTAGAGATCGCCTGCCAAGACCGTTCCCCCCCCCCCCCCCCAACAAAAACTCCAGTCATCTCTCCATCCCGATGCTGTATTTCCAGCGTGGTATCAAATGACATTCAACTCTACCCCCAGGCTTTTAAAGAAAAAATATCTGGAGTACTGGAAAAGGACTTTTTCTTTCTTTTATTTTTATTTTTTTCCTGCCAAGGTTGCCGGTGGCGGGGGCGAGCCCGTCCCTCCGGTGCCAGCCTGCCGCTGCCAGGCTTTTGGGGAGGGGGCGGCTGTAACCGACAGCCAGCGCGGGGAGGTCGGCGTTGTGATGTAGCGCATCCCCATCCCACGTGCTCTGTGTACTCGTTGGAAATAAAATTTTGGATTTGTTTCAAGCCTTTGGAGACGATGCTCTGTGCGTGCCAGCTCCTGGGGGAGGTGGGTTCCCATCCTGGTTGTGGCTGTGTCCTGTTCCCAGTGGGTTTAAGGGGGGTGGGGGGAGTCTCCCCGATGGGGTGTGGGGTTTGGCAGGAGCTTTCGTGCCCATGGGTGAGGGAAAGGGGTTGGCTCATTCCCGCAGGATGAGCCAACCCCAGGGGAGATCGGGCTTGTTCAGAGTGGGACATTGCTCTGTGCGCAAAGTCACCATCGCTCAGAAACTGAGAGACACGTGAAAGCTCTAGTTTCAATGTCCATCCCTTCTCCCCCCGCTTTCCTTCTTCTCCCATCACTGGCAGTGAGTACACTCTCCCCAGTGCCACCTCCAGCACACCCAGCACAGGCTCCGGCCCGCTGTGGTCCAGCCCCTAGCCCAGAGAAGGAATGGCCTCATTTGGAGAGGCTCTGAAGGTCTGAGCCATGTCCGTGCTGAGGTGGGAGGCTGGGGAAAGGGTGATGGAGAGCAGGACAGCAGCCCAGCCCCATGCCCAGCTTGTGCCTGGGCTGCAAAGCATCCCCTGTGCTCCCCCTCACACCCACCTCCCTTCCCCAGGTTTTTCCTGAAAGATGCTCTGCACCTACCAAATTTATCTGGGCCTGAATTTTCACTCTGGTTTTGCAGGGCCCTCGTGGGCAAATGATCTCCCGGCTAAGCAGCCCACCATGCTTTGAGGCTGGTTATCCTCAGGTCATCTCTGGGGCCAGGAGCAAGGTAGCAGCGAGGGTTTTGCAACGAAACCCATCGCTGCCGAGCCCCGCGCAGAAGACGTGTCGGTATTTCCATTTTCCGCACGTGTTAAGAGCATCTCAGCGAGCAGCAAATGTTGCCTGACCCCGGGGAGACGGCAGAAGCGTGCCCCAACTCGTCTGCATCGGCTGGCTCAACTCTCAGCTCCTCATCCCTTGCTGTGTCCACTGGGCAGGCTGAGAAGAAAAAACAACCGTCGCTCTGGCGATGTCTCTCCTGCTAAAAAAGCGCCGTTCGGCTGCTGCCGTACCTCGCTGGCTCTCCTCCATTTCCAAGGCTTGCTCTGTTCCATCCTCACTTCCCAAGGCTTCAGCTCTGGAGAGGTGGCACCACCGCCGAGCCAGCAGCATCTGCCGAGCCGGAGGAGGTGTGGAGCGCCTGGAGAAAGCGGAGGTGAGATGTTGCTCCCCGCATGCCACGCTGCTGCCTGCCCCATGCACCCCGGCACCAGCCCTCTACAGCTTGCTAATGAGAATAAACCCATCTGCGCTAATTGCTTTCATTAGCTGCAAGCACATTAGATTTGCAGCATGCAGTGGGAAGAGGAGAGGAGAAGCACAACCCTGGGGATGGCTTTGCCCCGGAGGACTGTGACGGTTTAACCCCAGCCAGCAGCTGGGATGAGGCAGCCGCTCGCTCACCCTCCCCAGGTAGGATGGGGAAAAGTAAGGAAAAACTTGTGGGTTGAGATAAAGACAGTTTATTATGCAGAGCAAAAGCCACACATGCAAGCAAAGCTAAAGAAGGAATTAATTCCCTGCTTCCGATCGCAGGCAGGCGTTCAGCCATCCCCAGGACAGCCAGGCTCCATCACGCCTAACGGCGACTTGTGAAGATGAACGCCATCACTCCCAACGTGTCCTCCTTCCTTCTTCTTCCCCAGCTTTGTACACTGAGCGTGACATCATGTGGTGTGGAATATCCTTTTGGTCAGTTGGGGTGGGCTGTCCCGGCTGTGTCCCCTCCCAACTCCTTGTGTCTCCTCACTGGTGGGGTGGGATGAGGAGCAGAAATGGCCTTGAGTGCTCAGCAACAACCAAACCCACCAGTGCGCTATCAACGTCATTTCTCATCCCAAATCCAAACCCCATCACCATACCAGCTGCTAACAAGAAAGTCAACTCTATCCCAGCTGAAAACACGACAGGGACTTGTCACTGCAGGAGGGGTCAGACCCACCAGGGAAGGGGAAGATCTCCAAACTCAGGGTGAAACAGGATGGGTTAGGCAGGGCAACAGCTGCCCTGAGGGTGAGGAAGGCAGAAGAGCCAGAGGAAGGGTGGAGAGCCCCATCCTGCTGCTGGCGTGGGACCATGCTGGCTACTGGCTGTGTATTTGTCCCCCCACACCTACGCAGAGGTTTCACCACCTCCATCGCTGGTCACCTTTGCTGGGGTGGACAATGTGTGACATTGTCACACGCACGGCGTGGCTGAGGGCACACACCCTCAGCCAGCCGCACACCCTGGGGATGGTCCCGAGCTCCTTTTAACCGCGCCAGCGTCTTTGTGTCTTCACTGCTCGCTTTGCACGGCACCGCTCGCACACGTGTCGCCAGCACGCTGAAGAGCTCACGGGCTTTGGCTCCGAAAGCCGAAGGAGGCAGAGCTGGCTCTGTGCCACTCCAGGAACGAGCTGGAGGAGATTACGGTGAATGGGAGAGGATCGGTCCTAAAGAGAAGGGAGGCAGAAACCACCACCCCCACCCCCCCCCCAGCACTGCAGTTCTGCACGGGGCTTGGGGTGGCCCTGGCCGGGGTTGGCTCAGCCCCGG